TACACTGCCCAGTGGCTATGGCTGTCAAGAATTCACAAGCCTATGGAAGCCACTGCCCAGTGGCTATGGCTGTCAAGAACACATGAGCCTAAGGAAGACATTGCCCAGTGGCTATGGCTGTCAAGAATACATGAGCCTCAGGAAGACATTGCCCAGTGGCTACGGCTGTCAAGAATACATGAGCCTAAGGAATACATTGCCCTGTGGCTATGGCTGTCAAGAATACATGAGCCTAAGGAAGACATTGCCCAGTGGCTAGGGCTGTCAAGAATATACAAGCCATTGCCAAGCAGCTATGGCCGTCAAGAATGCAAAAGTATGTGGAAGCCACTGCCTAGTGGCTGCGGCTGTCAAGAATACACAAGCATATGGAAGCCACTGCCAAGTGGCTATGGCTGTCAAGAATATACAAGCCTATGGAAGCCACTGCCCAGTGGCTATGGCTGTCAACAATACACAAGCCTATGGAAGCCATTGCCTAGCGACTGCACTGCAACCTTTTCCCATAGACCATGTGTGTGATTTCCAGCCATAACCCAGACATTTGGACATGGCTCTACTTTCTGCCAGTCAAGGCAAAGTATTTGGCTTCATGCTACCTCTGTTATTTTGTGAAAGGGCAGAAATGATTGCCCAAAACCAACTGGCAACTCAAGAGGGTTATGATATTGCCAGATGTAATAACAATCAGTTAAGAATGAGTCACTTGGCCTTTGGTCAGCTGACAGAAATTACCAAAACATAATTTTTATTGTGTAACGATTTACTCCATAGTCTAATCTGAAACCAAAACAAACCTACGTGAAGGCAATACTGGAAAAGGATACACATGAGCTTTTTGAAGTACAACGTCAAGATCTTCTCCGATGTGATACTGGCGAGCAAAGACTGACAGGAAGTGTTTATCTGACAGCAAAGACGACATCAACTCCAAATAGTCTTCCACCAANCCTAGGAACGTCATCCCTATCACACAGAGCATGAAAAATCATGAGAAATATTTTAAACTTAACTCAATCCTTGGAAGAATTGCAGTCTCACCTTTCCAGAATAGATTCTTTTAACCCCTTCGCTCAAGGAGAAGGCAAGAGCCGCGGCTTTGTGTAAGGATTAGTGCATACCACACATACAGTCTATCCACCATGCAGCTGCTGGTTCAATGGGGCCTGCTGCTGGACAAAGCCCTCCATTCAGGGCATACCACAGCCCAGCGGTCACGGTCAAAAGAATTACCGGCGCGAAGGGGTTAAAAGAGGTCATCTGTTTACTTATTTTTATCTTTTTGCATTTGAAGTTGTGCACTCAAGTCCACATTTATTGAAAGTCCCCTGACTAGTACCCAGTAGGGCACTTGTTCCATAGTTACGCGGACAAATACACATGTTGAAACATAGACGTTGGGCAAACTAAACATGTTAGACAGACAAATTTGTCTCACACCCCGGTCTCAATGTTCCTAACAGGAAATCAACTGTCCTCTTCATCAATGTGGTACTAGCCTGGGTACGAGGCCATTAGGTAGTGTACAGGTGTCATCAAGCAATCTTTAGCTCTGACTTCGGCTGAGAACCGAGTGAGATTCTGTGCCACTTCAAACAACGCACCACCCATCTTTGGGTAACTCCAAAAGATGAAATCTTTGAGACCAACCCCTTGAAAGCAGAGATGTCATACATATACCTACCCTCCTTCCACGATGGGTTGGATATAGCATCTGGTCACGATGCATTGACACACCCTGGCCAAACTCACTTTGCCAAGTTTCAGATGCTTCTGAAATAATTTCTTCTTGCTGGAAATAGAAAAAGAAGATACCTGTGGAAAACACGTTTAAGAAAATGTCCCCCTTTTTGGTAATTTTTGGATTGTACAGGGCACTGCTCAGTGGGGGTCATTTGTAAGGTCCACATGTGATGCTGTCTGCAAGAGTGAGATTGGAGGAGAACTAAACATCCACAAAATAATCACACGGTGTTTGAGGACCCCAGAGCTGTGCAGGCTAGGGTCTATGGGGTAAACATCTGCAGGGTAGGACAGCAAAAACAATTTTATAAATTCAGATCAATTTTTGTTTTAAGTTGACTTATTTTGTCAGAGGAGAAAAAAATTGAACTTAGTTCATTCATTTGTTCCCAAGACACTAAAAACAGCACAGGGAATAAATTAATGGTCACTGGTGTCATTTTCCTTTTACAAATTGCATTATTTGAAATCAGTGAGTTCGTAATCCAACTATTAAATAAAAAAGGTTTGGCCTGACAAAGATTTGCAGCAGCATCAGGTGAATTTTGTGAGATTGATTCTCAACATTTTAGACAGTATGCTCCGTCCATGGCCAGGAGACTGATATTAGTAGGTTTGCCAGTAAAGACTCCAACGACCAACTCAGTCTGCTCACCTTGGCTCTGCCCACTGTCTCTCCTTCATGGCTCGTTCCAGAGCTGGCAAGAAGGTCTCAACAAATGCAGCAACCCTGCAGGAATTAACAAACAACTTGTACTCTTTGCATGTTCATGAATCTAAGACTCCAGCAAAACTTTAACTGAAAAAACTGTAAGTCCTGCCTGTGAGATATGCATATTGATGTGTTTTAGGCATTGGTCATTAGTCTTAAATACAAGGCTGTTCTTCTAGATAAATCTCCAACAAGCAAAGAAGTTGGGTGTCAGTTGGTGAAGCTGTGGATGACGCTGCAGTGGATAATGCCCTCTGGCTCAATAGTCTTTTATTTCAAAATAAAAGTGCATTTCCTAAAAGGGTAAGTACCCTCTTGATAAATTTATGGGCAGCTGTGTGGGCCTACAGTTGCATTGAAGAGGCAGTGAATAATATCTCTCATTCTGTTACTCTGAATGACCACTAACTTCAACACAAAGCTATGCTTATGGAAGGCCCAAGCGCCCTCTGGATAAATCTCCAGGAAGCTGAGTATGCTGAGAGCAGAGTCGGTGAGGTAGTGAATAATGTCCCCCAGCTCATTGTCCGGCATGGTGTGCAGTATTCTGTTGGTAGTGAAGAACAAAATTCAAGCATTTGAAGACAGCACTTAATAACTGGCTCAACAGCAGGAAAGTGAAACGACCCTTCCACTGTTTTGCTTTTGACTTTCTGGCTTTTTTCATGCCCAAATAAGACCACATTCATTTACTTGGAGAATGCATATTAAATACAAATCATACCCTACATAATTATGCCTGTGAAAATGTCATTACTTAAAACGAACTGTGCTAGAAAAACCATCTTCAACAAATTTGATACAGAATCAACCATTTTCATTTTCAATTGAGCTTAAAGAAAAGTAAATGGAATAGTTACAGAAGGTCGGTGATATCGGCCGATGTCTGTGAAAGTTTCAAAAAGACACGTAGCATGCAAAGTAGGGAGTGGAAATTTGAAAGTAGAAACCTTGCTTGTGGTGCCTCTGGGAGGGTGTCTGACACTGCCTTCAAGCCACATTTTTCTAAAATGTTGTCGAAACACTGGAATACATAGTAAAAAGGAATCAAGCATTGATAACATGACACTATCTTCTTCACCCTAGCCATGCTGAGCCCGACAATATCCATCAGTGGTCATTTTCTGTGTTTTTCTTTTTTTTTTGAACAGCGAATAAAAGATCTTTTGTTCTGGCTGTTGGATTCTTTAGGGTTCAGCAGGTTTTATACTTCTGTCGTTAAATTCTGTGGACTTCAGCAGGCGGGCTCCTAGTGAAAAACCAAAAGAGGCGAGTGCTAAACATCATTCGCCGGTATCAGTTTCGGAGACAGTTCCAACAAGTGTACGTTCCAACAGAAATTAGCTTGGCCAGCTTGGTGCCATCCTGCACAGAGGTACATCAACCTGTAGACAGCAAGAGGTTTGCCCCCCCAAAAAATGCAAAATGCACCAGGGATTTTGTTGCCGCAGAAACCAGAAACAACAAAGCACAGTTAACTTTTTTACATCTTTTTTTTTTTAATTTGAGTAATCGCTCAGATGCACAATAGGACAAGTACAGTAAAAATACACACAAATGCTCAACAACTGTCCTGTCACCACACTGGAGACATATTTCCATGGTAGCATTATTTCAACTTGAAGTTTTAACCAATCATGAACTTTGTCTCACCTGTACTATGGTTGGTATGACGGCGATGAGATCATCCTTGTACTTTGGTTGATTTTTGAAGATATTTCCAACCATCTTGGCAAGAAGATCAGAATTACCGCCGCCATATAACACACAGAGCTCCATGAGCTTAGCAATGTCAAACAGGAAATTCTCGTAGATGATATCGCCAAAGACAGATGGAGTAATGAAACTTTCCTACAAGAGACAGGAAGACAGCACACAGACTTAGGCTTGATTGATCTCAATGAGACTTGATTGTCACTACTTTGTCAATTTCTAATCAAAGTGTCAGTTCAAATCAAAATAGACCTAACCTTGGTTTCCTTGCATGTGGCCATCCGCAAGAACGTCAAGAAGACAAGTTTATGGACAGAACGTTGCCTGGTAGTGAAATCATCGGGTAACGAAGTCATAGGATCGAATGTCCTAGGATCAAAATAAAAGTCAGAAATGTTGTTTTGGATTACAAAGCCAAATGTAAACCCTTTTTACTTTTGAGGATGAATCTGCGTTAGAGAAAAGTACCTTGTCATGGGTTTGAGCCGTTTCAAGCTAATTGTGTAGCAGCAGAAAAAAAAATTAAATTTATAGAGTGAAGAGTTACTTGTTTCTGGAAAAGTTTCCATAAATTTGGACACAATTATACTTGCAATTTATTTGTTACCGTAGCAAAACTGTAAATATTATACGAACATTTACTTACAGCAACTTTTTTTGAATCTTTACACTGGGAGTTGAACCCTGGTCACAAAGGCGGAGTATACATCACTGACTATGCAATTGTGTTGGCCTGCTTGCCGTGCTGCAAGTGGCTAAGTTTAACTGGGCATGCCATGTACATGGACATCACCTCACAGCAAGCAGCGTGGACAGTACTTAGGCCTACGCATTCAAGTGTATCCAAACTATGTACAAGTGTAGGTAACATGCAGAACATTTGTACAAGGGAGCCTCTGGAGTTATGAAAACACCATCAAATACGACAATTAGGCTAGCATTAACATGCAGACAGGCAATGACTAGACCCCCGTTTGTAAATGCAGTTAACTCTAACTCACCTAGGAGCTTCCCGAAGGTATGAATCCAAACACTGTTGCAGACTGTGGTCGTACACAACCTGCAACGGAAGATGAGAACAAATAGAGTAAAAGATAAATTTCACATCTCAATGCCAAGCAGCCATTATGCACCATTACAGGTTGATTACAGTAACTGGTGCCCTGCGACAAAACATCCTGTAGTAGTTATAGGGGCTTGTGTTCATGAGCAAGGCAATTTACCACAAGATCGTCAAACTTCATGATGGTCAGAATATCAACAAGATATTCTGGCCAAAAGATTTCCTACAGTTCCTTTTCCTAAAATTACATAAAACGGCTTCATTTTGAAATATTTGTATTTTTACATGCATATGTATCTGCAGGTATTCACTGTGACTTCACTAATTGATTGTACATGTACTTAATGTAGTTTTAGAGACCTAATCTCTATGCTTTTCAGTGTTCTGTACACATATTTTGGAGAGTGGAAGTTTCTGCTATGCTTAGTGTATTTAACATCTAAAACTATGACCCCTAACCCTACAGGGTGTTTTGGTTAGAAACCCAGCCAGATGCATCAGTCTGCATCATTTTTCAAAGTGGCTTGCCTAGCCAGCTTGAACAAGATCCAACAGGTCAACTCTGCCCAAGGCCAAACAGCCTAGGAGTCTGTGGTTGCCAGTCACCACAAGATCCAACAGGTCAACTCTCCCCAAGGCCAAACAGCCTGGGAATCTGTGGTTGCCAGTCACCATAAGATCCAACAGGTCAACTCTCCCCAAGGCCAAACAGCCTGGGAGTCTGTGGTTGCCAGTCACCACAAGATCCAACAGTGGCATGGTTCAGTGTGACTACATGTAGTTCCCATTGCCTCAACATGACCAATTTATTTGGCTGCTGTTGACTGCCAAGTGTATCAGGATTTTACATCTGTCGCACTATGCTGCGTCTGGCGGGGTTTGAGTCCAGACATTCTGTCTGTATAGTTTTGAAAATCAAATCTTGAATAAGTCTCTTCTCCTAGTTTCACACCTGACTCCAGAATTTATGATGAGGAAGTTTGAGAAGCCAGTGAAGATCCTCTTCGATATAGCCCATCATCTCTTGCCACTCCTCACGAGATGCCGCATCACAGCCTTCAGGGGGCGGTGGTTGATAGACCAAGAATTCAACCTCTTCCATCCAACAGGAATCCTAACAAATTGCCAAAGGGAATATCCAGTATGTTTACTGCATTAATACATGCACATCAAGTCACCATTTTTGATATTTTCTGTCGAATAAATTTGAGTAGGAATTAAAAATAATACAAATTAACCAAAATGCTGTCCCAGGCAAATGTCACTCGTTGCTTCTGTTGTGGTTTGCCTACATTTTTTTTCTTCCCTTTGATTTTGCACAATGATACTACGCTAAACTTCTCTTTATCTGGAGTGAGATGATTTACTTTACATTGTCAAAATCTGCTCCAGATATTTGAACAAGTTCAAGCTTTCCATATTCATGATATTTACCAGTGCTGGCTTGGTGACCTTGGTCCCATGACCTCCAGTTGCCACGGTGATGTAATGCTCATCTAAGGCTTGTGTTGCTGCCATCTTTACCTCCAAGTGAAAGTACTGGATACAATGAAATGAAATATCAGTCTGAAACTGCTTGGTTGACATCCAGTATGTTCAACGAAGAACTTCAAACTAATTGTCATGGCGACAATTTACATTACAAGGGTCCAAGAGAGTGACATTTTTGTGTCCCTGTTACATCTGACCTTTGTTATTTGACATGGAAATGTCACTGGAATTAATGTTAAACTATTACTATTTTTTTGGCAGGTACAGTAATGTGCATTAATTTATCACTCTTCGAAATTAAAAAATGCGTTTTCAACTTAAAAAATAATATGTCAGATGTGACAGGGTCACGAAAAAAAACTGGACCTCTCATTTCTGGAATTACCCATTAATAATTTGAGGACTTTCATGGCCTTGAAAAACAAAGTTTAAATTCCAGGATTTTCAACAACCACAAAAACCTGGTATTCTGGATAAAAACTGCAGGCTTAAGAGCCCTCATTCAACTGCTTAATACAGGTACATTTTAAAGCCTTTTTAGTAGTCGATATTCAGGAAAATTATTTCTGACACGATCTTTTTCCATCCTGCTTGTAATCCCAGAAGTAAAAAGTCCTTATGTGGGGAGACATTCTCTCTTTTGAGAGATAGTTTTGTTGATCCAGTTCGTAGGTGTGACATCACTTCAGTTTAAACCATGCCCACCGCACATGCACAGCACACAGAGTTACATGCATTGATCACCGTTTATGTGGAACCATGGAACCGGAAGTTAACGCACAACTTCTGTGATTGTCCAATGGGAGCTTGCGAATTGCATCCACTGTCGTGACGAAGTTACATACAAACATGATGGGACTGTACGTGGTCTAGGCCTAGCCTACCTCCTCCATGGTCTCAGAGTTCGGATGTGTAACACTAAATGAATAACGTTACTGTCTAAACTAGACACAACAGTCTTCATTTCATATGGTCACGGAGTCCACCTTGACTAGTTAGTCGTGTTATGCCCCAACTATAGCATCAGTCCCAACTATAGTTGGACCAATTAGAGTGCTACAGTTGAGCCGGCCCAACTACAGCAGAGAGGTCCTGTGTGCATGATGTGTCCAGCATGTGCCAAAGTCATATTGTTTACAAATTTCATGATATTGGTCATAGGGCTAGATGAACAGATGAAGTGCCACATTTTAGATGAATTGTGTCACGTATGAGACACATTGACTTGGATAATGTTGAGACATTTCCCACGGACATTGGTCAACAATAGTTGGGCAAGCCCAACTGCAGTACTACAGTTGGGACTGTCCCAACTATAGTTGGGACTTATGCAAGGCCGTATAGTGCGAGTAGACTAGATCTAGGCCGCCTACGTGTATGTTGGGGCTTAAGTTTACTCGAGGTAATTCAGGCATAGGCCAATTCAGTGTAATTACTTACCACGTTGAAATATAAATAGATTACAAGTAAACACGTCACAGCCTCACAAGCCAAAAGATTTCGTGAGTTGCACCAGTTTCGTATGAAAATAATTGTATAGGGCCTGCTGACAGATGACATACATGCAGCTAGCTAGCATACAGGTCAGTTGCAAAAAAGACTGAAAAGCAATGAATTATTTCCCGTCGCATGAGGGCGCAATGTGATAATAGACTTTTAATAAGTCCTTCGACAAGAATATAATATCAAATCAATGCTCTGAAATATGTGATTGCCGAGCTTTTGGTAACTAAGTACCTTCTTCAGGGCAAGCAGATTCAGTTCTGAATGACCGCGAAAAAATCCACGTTCATTCCCCCTGGATGCAGCGTTCCAAGTTCGAAAATGACGCGCTGCTGCTCCATTTCCTTACGTTGTACATCACATGACGCTTTCCGCAGGACGCAGACGCTTACGTCACCGAGGGTATGTGGCGGTGCGCAGAAGTGCTGCGCAACAGTGAGACCAGTGAAACCAGTTTGACAATTAATTTCATGTTCAGGGTGATCTGCACCAATTGAAAACAGTGTAAAATCAACAAAGTTCGGAGCCCCAAAGTCTTGTGGTCTCTCAAACAAATTAATGTGTTGTCGAGTCTTTCATATTTCAACTGATTTTCAAATTTTGGTAGGTTAACCAATTAGATTTTTAATTATCCACCAAAAACAAACTTACCACCCCCAAGTGAACGTTCCCAAGTCTGTCAGCAGCCATCTTTCAAATGATGTTCCCCCTTTCTCAGGCTGTTTGGGCAATTTTTAAATACAAATTTTGTCTGCTTTGCCCTACAAAGGAGCTCTGCCCTGAAACTAGAAAGTTAATCCTGGGCCATACTTACACAATTTCACAATTTGAGTCATACAAGCTCCTCTTTCCAAAAGAAACATTTTAAGAGCTCGACCCGGCGGAGAACTTTGCACTGAATTGGGACAGTGCACCGGTTGGGGCATTGAAGCAACTGCGTCATTTTGATTCCGCCCTATCGTACCCTTTCATACGTCTGCCCCACCCACAACTGATATGCATGATTCTTGCCACTTTAAACTAGCCCCCCCATATGCCTTCCGATAAGATTGATTGTGTAATTGGTATAAGTATGTTGAAATTTCCAAACTCTATGCGCTAGGTTTGAGGGGAAATGCAGTGGGAAACAAGTTACGATGGCCAGGTGCACGACCGTACACTGCAGGCCTACTAAGATTACTTGACAGGGGGACAAATTTACCACCATAGGATCTTTGCCTCCATGGAAATGAATAAGTGCAAGCATATCAGTGTATTTTAAAGAACTTCGGGCAGCCAGGAAAGGAGAATAATTGATGTAATTTGTTTAGTTTTTGATCGGTCAAGGGTGAATAATAACATCGAATTTTGTAAGTGCCCCATCTCTACCCAATTGCAACCCAACACCAAACCTAGCTGACACAATACAAAAACCGACAGCTCATCCCAAAACAGCGACACTAAACCCCAACCTGGCCCAACTACACTGACCTGACTCCAACTTCACCAAAAGAATCATAAAAAGTCGCACCCAGTCCGACAGGAGAGTGAACACAACCGTTTACATGTACCGGACCCCTCCAACCATGTACTAGTGTGGCAAACTAACCCTAACTGGAGTTACTAGACTGATTTAATCCAACTTTCACCAACTTGGTTAAGGTCGGTTATTATGTTTTGAAAACATAACCGTCTTAACCCGCTTGACTCATCACTCAATCCAATAATGAACCCAACCCAACTATACGAAATGTAGGCCAACTTGCACTGCCTTAAACGACCCATGCAACCAAACTCAACTAAACCCTCCTATCCCGACACTTAAATTTAAAGACAAACGAATGGTCAAAATTAAGTAGTCCTGCAATAATTATGACAGTTGAAACATTGCGTGCAAAAATTTAATGTTATTTTTTTCACAGGAAGTTACTACAAATAATCAGCCATCACCGTGACTTTCTGAGCTCAAAACTAACCTAACTCACGGCTATTCAAGATAAGGTTTTTACTCTACAATAATACAGAATTGTGTGGATATAACACCCTGACACCCTGTGGATATATACCCTGACACTGATGTTAAACAAAATTTTTAAATGAGGTAATTATGAATTATACAAAATACCAAACAATACATTTTGGTAATGGGAGGCAACTATATGTTCTGGATAATGAAATATTGAAAGCACTGTGCACAGCATTCATTCAGTGACCTTGTTCTAGAGCAAGCTGTATACCTTAATTAGGGCCTACCCTGAAACTGTCTCTTATGTCTTCGTATGTATGTTGTTTTCTCTGATTTTATCTGTTCAAATAAATATGGAAGTATCCAAATCAAATGCAGTATCATTTGTCTCAAGAGCTCAACCATAACAAGCTTAAAAGGGCTTTTTTCTGTTCATGCAAAGATGCAAATTCTGAATGTAGATTGCATCACTCTGAGAAAACAGAGAAAACGAGGGGAACCCTTACCCTGTGTTGGTAGTGGATAAACCCTTGACCACGCCAAACAATGGCTACATGCAAAACGTACGCACAGACCTATGCCTCCCTCAGATGGCATTAAAGCAACAGCGCTCTCAGTTATTCAATAAAGCAGGGATAATTGTAAGCGTTTAAAAAAGTGCACTTTTCAGTGCTTTGAACCAAATTCGAGTGTGAGAGAGTTTGCATACTTTGTAGTGGGGTACAATGTTGCCAAAACTATCATCGTGTGTAAGAAAAAGTCATCACGCTACACGCCAAGGCGTATCTATGATGCAACAGCTACGGCTTTCCTTGATGTACATGTTGCAAGCCAGCAGATTGCAGCCAAACACGTACGATCTTCACGCTGCAGCCGTATTCCACAATGGGACGACAGTTGTTGTGGATCCTGTCGCCTTGCAACCAAATGTATCTCTCTTAAACATATAGGCCTGATGCCGAATGTAGCCAACTGGACTTGTAACAATGCTACCTCCATCGGGCCTATGGCATGATTAGAAGCAAAGTCGAGGGTATAATTTTATAAAACAATAATATAACTACATGTATATACGAGAAAGCCTCAGAAATGGTCTTAAAAGCCAGAACTACAATGATACTTTGCTTTACCAATTAGTATAAGCAAAGCTAAGGCGGAAAATGAAAACTATTTGACAGCTCAAAGTCTCTTAAAGTTTGTGGCGCCCAAGAATAATCACATTGCTGCAGAACTAAACAGAATAGAACCAATCATGTTTGACATTACTTTCCCAGAACTATATTCTAATTGTCTTTAATAGGTCGTAACTACAAAATGAAAAGATCTCTAAAATTAAAAATCACTGTTACATTCTCGGTGCTTGAAAAGTTTTCTAAAACGAATTATTTTTGTCGTTTTGAACTACTGGCGTTCTTCGGATTTGTGGACGTTTAGCAAGGTCCTGGAGTGGCTTGCTCAATCGTTACTTCACACAGCGGCTGCTGGGTAAGCCTCAGCAGTGGGATGTCCACGGTGACAAACTTGGCCGTCATGGGAGGGTCACAGACGAAGTCTACGGTAGACCTACGAACTTCAGCTTGCTGGGCGGTCAGGGGAGTGCCGCATACACCGCGGTTGGTTAGACTGGTAGAGCTGGTCCCACCACGGACTACAGCACCGGTCAGACGGTCACCTGTTAAAAAGTAATTTGATTATAGTAAGATCAGCCAAACTTAAGCAAGTGGCTACAGCAGCCCTTTCCTTCTAAAGTGTAGCCAAACGTTTTAGACATTTCTGAAAATCCATGCAAGTACGTCAACCACGCACCAGTGCAGTCGCCACTCTTATGAACAATGACTTTCTTGACGCAGTATTCAGTGACAAGGTTCACTTGCAAGAAGGACGTTTGTGTTTTCACATCAGAACCTAGAAAGAAAAAGATGTGTATTTTGGTTAAAGTTAAGGCAGATTCCCTTGATACCAAACAGACGTCTACCGGCGATACAAGTCTGTGATAGTTAACTTTACTATAAGAAAAACCCTGTCTGTTTCAAGATACATGTACATTACAAGTTAAACCAATGAGGAATTCAGATTTGACATTCCAAACATAATTCAAAATCCATCAAAGTATATCGAGTGTATCGAAAATAAACACATAAATAACTACAAGCACCAAAGAGTGAAACGGAAAATAGTTAAGCACGTTGGGAACAAAGAGCCGTCTGTTTCAATGTAGACGTCATTAAAATGGCGGTATACGCCTGTTCCTCACGCGCACGTGATGTTGTGCTATAAGTGGACGGAAGTGTCATTGAAGGCCTACAACTCCTGTTTGCAAGCGTGCTACCAATGGGGCCTACATCGTCCTGAATTTGGCTGTCTTTGAATCATAAATAACTAAGCGAAAACCTCACCTGCAGAAGGTAGCTGTCCTTTGGGTTGTACTGTAGCAATAAAAACATCACAATCGAAATCATTACATCTACCATTTTATCAAATAGGCCTATAGCAAGGTCCCCATAGCTTGTAAATAGGCATTTAAATCTGCTAAAGTAAAAAAGCATGTAATGAGAAATCCGAAGTTGAGAACGAAGACGAAGGACTTTGAGCGTACTTCAATACTGATGACCTTTTTTCAATAACAACAGTTAATAACATGATGAATTCAAACTCTGCTAGATATTTTCTCTCTTAGCATCAAACAACAAGTGATAAAATGAATTGGAGGATGTAAGCAGAAGAAGAGTATTTAAATACAATATCCATAAATAAATAGGTACTTTTCTTTTCACTCCCGCCCGTCCTTCTGGACGTTTGTGGCCTGTCTTATGCTAAATTATTATCAAAACATAAACATGGACTTCTAGCTATAATGGCGAGCATTTTGATCAACTCACCGGATTCACACAATTCTCCAGTGAAGCCAACCGTACACACGCAATAAACCTTGTTGATACCATCCACGCATTTGGCACCATTCTGACATGGAGCACTGTCACACTCGTCAATATCTAGAGAGAATGACCGAATGGAAATGCTTACTTTTAAAAAGGCAAGCTAGGAGATATATTGTATTTTGAAACTTCGCCTTTTACACTTAGAACCAGCTTTGTCAGACCAACTCGCTGCAGGTGACAGAATCCGTTAGTCTTCATGTCAGCTCTCCGCTGCCTTATCTTTTTGTTAACCTGGTATGCGCAAGAAGGTGTGTTTTCGCAATACATCTGTGAAGTTTTAACTCAATCCAACACAAGATTTTGTCGGCATGGTCTTTTGCAGTTCACACTTTAACGCCTGTATTTGCCCTCTTACAGAAATTGAAGAAGCTGATATTTGTGAACATTCTCGGAAGCAGAATGGACATTTCCCAAAACCAATATATCTGATAGCCCTCACATCGGCTTCAAAATAATCGTGCGACAAGAGTTCATCGGAAAAATCCTGAGCGCGCAAGGCTAGGCGCAAAATTGGCATTTTGAAGATTTTGGATAAGACGCCAAAAGAGACATTCTGTAAGCCCCTACTGTTCTCTCAAGGGTTAACATTACAGACCTACAAGTGGCAGATAAGGGTAGAATAACTAAGTGTGGTGCTGATTCGTCTTAACACAAAAAAATGACCATGTTTGGGGAAAAGAATCGGTAACTTACTGATTTCGCACAAAGTGCCTTCGAAGCCTGGGGAACATGCGCACTTGAATCCATTCACACCATGGCCAATACAGATGCCGTTCTTGCACGGATTAGTGGTGCATCCCTTGGTCTTTTTGACAGCTTCAAAGCAGGGAAGGTACAGGAAATAACTTGAATATTTATACTTGTATAATACAAGAAATAGTAAAGTGAGGATCACTTCTAGGCATACACTCTAAGAGTTGCGCTCTGTGTTTGTCTGTTCTTGAATGCTGCCATTGCATTTCCATTCAGAGTTCTAGCCTGCTGAGATAGCTGTTTTTGGAATCACACTCACCAGAGTCACACAAGTCACCTTCGAAGCCTTCCGAGCATTCACAGCTGAAACCGTCCACTTCGCTTCGACAGACACCATTCTGACAAGGGTTGCTATCGCACGCATTGATTGCAATCGTAGGTTGAGGCTTATTTTCTGTAAAAAATACCGGTAGTCAGAACCCCATTGACAATTTGCCAAAATGTTATGGAACACTCATATCTTAACAAATGAAATGTTTTGCAGAACCAACTATTGGTGGCTCGTATAGCTTTCCCTGTTTTGATGAGTGACCCAGGCCTATACGGTAATGAGTGACCTAGGCCTACACGGTAAAATTTCTTTAATCCGGTATTTGGTATTTTATGCTGAGATACAGAACATCCACTGAGAGGTCATCATTTCGTAAACAATGTCTCTTAAGACATATCTACGAATACTGTACTTAAATATTTCGTAGACATGCCCAAAGAGATATTGTTTCGTAGACATGCCCGAAGAGACATTATTTCCTCAGTATTTTTAGAATTCATACCAGTTTCACACAGAACTCCAGTAAAGCCTGCAGCGCACGTGCACAAAACCCTGTTGATGTCATCAACGCACGTGGCCCCGTTTAGACATGGGTCGCTAGCACACTCGTCAATATCTACGGGAACAAAGCAGAGTAGGAATGAACATGTATAGTCGCATCAAATATCTCGATACGTTATCTTCAGTTAGGATGGTGAAGTTACATGGTCTAACTTAATTGGAGGAAACATTGCAAGAATGACTCTAGAGTGAAAGAGAATTTTACTGGTTTCGCAGTTGGCACCCTCGTATCCAGGAGAGCATTCACAAGTGAAACTGTCGACACCCTCAATACAGACACCATTCTGACAAGGATTACTGTCGCACTCATCTATGTCTGTCGGAAAAAAATGAAAGGGAAAAATACAAAATTGTATATTACTTGATCCAAATACACACGACCCCTATATCGGAAGGACGAAACTAAATCGGTTTTATTTTACAGGAGAATTTGTTGAAAATAAACGAAGCAGTCATATCGTTTGAAGAAATCCTTCCACTATCGAAGTGTTGGTGAAGGGTACCCTGACATGAAGTGGCAACAAAAGGTCGGACTTATCAAGGCTTTCTTGTTTCGCGACCACTCCTTGTGAAATCAATTTGCACCCTCTCTTCAAGTCTACTTTTTTAATTCAAGTCTTGGAAATCTGTTTAAGTGTTAATCAACTTTAAAAGTTGATAAAAGCAGCGTCTTGGGGACTTCCACTTTAATTGAGCAATTACCGATCTCACAGACAGCCCCAGTAAATCCTGCAGCACAAGAACACGAAACATTGTTGACACCATCGACGCACGTGCCACCATTCTTGCAAGGATTGCTACTACATTCGTCGATATCTGTGTGAGAAATTTCATCACGGCAAGAATCGTGATTAATTAAAAGAATGGAGGGGAAGGGGCAAATAAAAACTGCTTCATCCTCCACAGCGATGTATAACTCTGGTCTAAGGAGACAATAGCTATTATCAAAGTATATTCTATGATTGGTAACGTCAGTCTGAGAAAAAAATGTATAGCAGAACATTACAATAATCAGCAGGGAAATTGAATGCTTCAATGGCGGGCTTTTAGAAAGCGCATCCCTGTAATTTTTAGCAGCATAGCCTGGAGTGGTACACGTCACTCACTGGAAGTGGAGTAACCGGGACGATGGGGGTGAAGGTTGTGACATGAGAGTATCTCAATTGTTGGAACCAAAATGGTGGATTATGCGTCAGTGCACATGGACAATAGGTCCTATTTAAGGGGACCCAATTTCAGTCATATTCCCCAGCGTAGTGTATTTATTTGAAATCGTAAAATTCAAAGAACCAGACTATTTTTTTACCATTTCATTCCAACCCCGAGATGTCTGTAATGGAAACAACAGGATGACAAATCTCATGTACAGGTGCAACGAGATCAGCAAATAGGACAAAATGACGGAATCAAAATGTAATAATGCATTTAATAGTGGTCCTAAAAAACTCCTAAACCTACTTGTCTCACACAAGTCTCCCTCATAGCCTGGAGAGCATTCACAGCTGAAACCATTCACTTCATCATGACAGACACCGTTCAGGCAAGGATTGCTGCTACACTCATCAATGTCTAAATGAGTATTCAAATATAAATTTTTCTTTAGTAGTTCACTTTCCAACAAAACAAAAGAATTAAAAGGGCACTATAGGCTTAATGAAAAGGAATTTACAGTCTGAAATATCATACTACATGTTCAATGGAAATCCACACAATTGTCTGTATAAGAAATGTTAAAGCTATTGTCTGAGATGGCTCGAGCAGCAAGCCAGTCTAAAACAGCCGGTGTACACAGGGCGAGATTAATTGTACAGAACACCGATACCGGACTTGCAGTATGAAGACAGAGCATGTAGTGTACAATATTCCACCAACCTGTTTGACACAGCGATCCTTCATATCCTGGAGCACAGTTGCATGTAAACATATTGACACCATCCACACACTCGGCACCATTCTGACACGGAGTGCTGCTACATTCATCAATGTCTGTTAAAACATCCACAGAGGAAATGACAAAATTTAAGGATAAACGGCAGATTTTCGGAAAGTCTTCCCATGACCGATGTACATGTTACTCAACGCATCATGTGTAGTAGGTTTACAGCACGTTCTGAGCTTGCTTTAAGACGAGGGTGTATTCAAAACGACAACTATATACAGTCGCTGCATCAAAGCTTTGAACTTCGGTAATATTCACAGATAAATGGAATTCCGTTTATGACCTGGCTGTTTCACAAAAACAATACGGTCGTGCCGTTGAAGAAACGCGAGTGTTTCCGACAGGTATGACTCTGTGCCTTTTTTTTCAAAACTTATCGCTGGTTTACTGTAACCTCAGAGTTCTGTAACTGACAATTATACTTGACCTGTCTCAACTTTTAGGGAATTTCAGTTCATGGGAGGATAAGTGTAAAACATGCGTCATTTTAGTTCGACAGAATTAATTTACTGCTATCAAGCAATAACATTCAGAGGGCTACAGAGAAGAGCTCTTGGTAACTGACAAGTATTCGATTGTTGATGTTAACTTACCGGTCTCACATAAATTACCCTCGTAGCCCGGTGAACATTCACAACTGAAGCCATCCAATTCGTCTGTGCAAATGCCATTCTGGCAGGGATTACTGGAGCACGGAGTGATTTCTGTTGGTAACAGGGGACAAATGCTCGGACAATAAGTAGCTGAGTTCCTTGACCAGAGGACTAGCAAGAAATCCTACAACATCCATTGATCTATAATTCCAAAAGCGTTGGGAAAAACGTACGCTGGCGGAGTGTTAGAATGCTTTACAAAATGCATGACGACAGATATTGTGTTCAAGGACCTATTAAAAAGATTACTTTATTAGGACGATATTGCAGGAATTAGTTTTTGCAGAAGCAACTTGACCAGCTGCCAGGGGCAAAATTGCTACAATGAACAAATCATATATTTTGTAGCGTGGAAAGCCTACATTTACCGCATTCAACGACAAAAACAATGTCTGTATCGATCTACGTTGGTTAGTGTAAGAAATACAGTGTTTATGAGGTAATGCAAAATTCAATGTACGCATTGTGGGGGGGGGGGGTTCGGGGGAGGTAACCGCTACCCTCCATTGACCGACTTTCACTTAAAAGGTAACTTAACATAAAAATGCCTCTGCAGCAAGCTTAGGCACCCATTATAGAACTAATTTCCGTTATACAAACTTGTTTCACACTGAGTCCCAGTGAAATCCTCGGCACACTGGCAGGAAAATCCATTATCACCATCCACGCAGGTAGAGCTTTCCGAACAGGGATTACTAGCGCACTCGTCGATATCTAGGTTAAAATAACACATATACAAAGGAGTTTACCAAATCAACTGATGACAAAGGTTAGTGGCGGTGGTGTATCTAGTGGGGGAGGTACGGGGAGTTACCCCTGGAGACATTATGTTTTTTTTTTTATATACCCTTGGATATATATGTTCCTAGGAATTGAAAGCGCAGCATACCGTCTTTGTTTCTTTTGCAGGGGTGAACAGAATTGGATTTTCACATCTTCAAAATTTCATATACATCCCTACCCGTGACCCAAGGCTCAGATAAGCCACTGACGAGTAAAATGAAGACGCATTGAAGTTATCTATACAGTCAAAGTTCCCTGTCAAATGCAAATCGTTTCTAATAAACATGTTAGGTACAGGAAATGTACCAATCACTTACATCCATCATCAACCAACCCAACAATTTTGACTCCAGAATTCTTTCATATGAATATTATTCGTAGAAGCAAAACTTGATCTTAGATAGATGTCTGAAACAAACTTTCCCTCTCTTCCAGGTTACAGTCACTCCCTGCAGGAAGGGTCGGCTATTTGGGGACAACTTTTATAAACGTTATAATTAGTTGCAACTAGAATAAGACCAAGATGGAGTTTACCAAAAATTAACGCAACGCAAGCCTACTTGTCTCGCATAATTCCCCCTCGTAGCCGGCAGGACATTTACAGATGAAACCATTCTCTTCGTCACGGCAGATGCCATTCTGACAGGGCTTGCTGTCACAGCCTACGTAGGCTGTAAAGAGCACAAAGGGAAAGACTTTAACCTTGAAATTCATGAGAAGAAAAATCTAGGCAAAAGGTTTCTTGAAAAAGCTAGCGACACAAGACACTATTATACAACGTCATGTCGAGCCTCTTTGGGTGTGGTCGTGCGGTTACATGAGAAGGATGCGTGTACATTACACTCGTGGGCAGGAGTACACTCCACACGTAGCGAGAGTATACTCTCGCTGACCCGCGGGTCGTACTTCAGCCGTTCGAGCGCTCATGAGCGTACTCGTGTTAACACAGGTTGCTCGCGCGAACGCATCCTTTAAGTGATTTGTAAAGTTGATTTTGTTTACAAGTTCGCCATTTTGAATTGAAAGTAAGATGAATGTTTCACTTCGGGAACAGAATAAAAACGAAAGCAATGGAAAACTTCACACAGATAAATTCATATACGATAAAAGAAAATTATGTAATTTTATAACATCTAAGCAAGATTTAAACAAATGAATGTGAGGTATGGAACCGTAAATATTAATGCAAAACCTCAATATCATGACGTCAAACTTGATTCACTTTCGCATTCTGCTGAAGTATGAACCGGCCTTTAGGCCTACTGATGACGTCATGTGATTTGCTTCCATGCGCTCTTTCGTCTGGGAGCCGCGGCGGGGGGTCGACGGATTGGAAACTCCATATAAAACGCTAAAATGTAAAACAGTGTGACGTCATCAGCGTAACTGCCCGTACATTACATCCCAACAAATAGCAGGATTTGGCAATGAAAGGATAGCAACAGCTCTGGGAACGAGGCTTAGTAGTTTGGTCAGGTACTTACTGATTTTGTAATGCATGCGGAAACCTTTTTGGTTATTTTGGTTGGAATTAGACTGGAAGAAGACTGACACCTTGTCGTCATTTATTACAAAGGTCTGGTTCAGAGCGTCACGAACACTTATTGTTCCCCCTCTAAAATCCAGAGCACCGCCAGGTGCGTAATCGAGATAAGCTTGACTGTTCTCAAAGTTGATGTCGATATCCTCAAATCTGATTTCGATCCTCTTGGCGTTTGGAGACCCTATGATGAATGGACACCTGTCCATGTGGCCGTACGGTTTAGGGTATCCTGGTGATGTGATGTACCCCTCTCTCTGGTCGTAGATGTAGCGATTAGATTCTGGCTTGCAGTCTACCCCTGAATATATTACAGACAACAGGTCATCAATATCAGTTGCAAAATAAACAAAAGAATTCTCCAAAAGAGGACAGACAAGAGAAGAAGGAAACGTCGTATTCCAAAATGAAACAGAATTCAACGAAACCAAAGTTCATGTTAGGTCTACCTTCTAGATTGATTTAATCTATACGGGATTGAAACACTGTAACATGTTTGGAAAGTCTCGAAATCCGGTTTTTTATCTCGTGACATTATGATTTCGTGTAATATTTCTGCCCCCTCACCCCGGTCAGTGTTCGTCGGCCCAGGCGACGGTGATCCAAACTCAGAAACATTGAAACGGGGAGGGGGACTTCCAGGGTGCATGCTGATATTCTCATATCATGTAACTTGATAGCACTGTTGATTTGTGAAAGATTTCAATTCATGTTGGCCCTCAATGCCATATCTTTGCAGGGAAATTACAGGTATCTTCATTACTTCATAAATGGTTTCGCCATAAAAATGGATAATTAAGATATGGAAAAATCTACATTTCTGGGGCAGTTTGAATTTCAATTTAGGCGGTATGGATTACATGAAAGCTTCTACAAAGGAAATGTTGTCAGAAGAGAGAAGACAATGACTGAACTGGAGGCAATAGCTGCGACAAGGGCCATGAATTCGGTTCGATAACAAGCCCAACTGAACAACTGTTTTCTCATTGAAAAATACATTGAAGAAAAGCCTGCATATATATTCTGACATTTTAGAAATAATGTAAAAGACCAAGATAACATTGACAAGATGCAGGCGGTATAGCCTATCATGCAAATAGGGGTGCATTCTTCACACTGTAACGCAGAGGGCGCTGTCTAGCATGGGCGTAAATAGGGGGGGGGGATATATCCCCCACTTATCGAGTTGGGGGAGGGGCTATTGAGTCATCCCCCACTTGTTGGCCTGGAGCAAAAGGTTACAGTGGATTTTGAAGAATTTTCAGACTTTTAACGACTACAGTTCTTTATGTATTACTCAAAAGAGGAAAAACAAAACGAAATTTTAAAAGCAATGATTATGCCATCCTAAACATGCAGTTACGGAATGCCGGCTACATGACAATCATGAACACGGACCACTACATGGAGTCATATGGTGTCCCCCCCACCTTTTCAAATTTTCATGGCCGGACAAGTCATTCGCCACCTTTGCCCATTTCACATCACCCCAAATTTCCAACACAAATTTACGCAACTGTATTCAAGTAAACACACACTTTCACAGTGAATAAGATTAGCAAATTCTAAAATTAATCCCTTACACAGAGAGATCTTAATGTCAAGCAGCCAAATGTAAGGAAAATATGTGATTTCTGCAAGTCATGTTCTTTTGCGAATCGTACAAAGTCAGACAGGCCTATGTCTGACCCTTAAATCCACCAATTCGATTTTTGCAAGATGAACAGGAAACTCTCACAAAGATAACAGTTCACTTAGTTATGTTTTGAAGGTTCAATCTGCCTTCCAGTCGGTAATTGGCAAAGTTCCGTCTTAAGTCCAACTTACGTATTTTTTGCAATTCACAAAACTTCCCATGCTGTCCATCACTGCATTTACAGAATGGCCGTAAATCTGCTCGAGGCACACAAGGTGCATCTGTACATGTGTCTGGCGAGCATCGCAGATCCAGAGGAAAATCTAGACAGAACCCCAAAAAATCCACGTGTCAAAAGAAATCTTTGTTTCTCTAGCGATTGGCAAATTGAACATTGTATAAAAGCAATAGGGCACAATTAAAAGGTATTTGTAAGAAAAAGGAGAATATCATTTTCTGCAATGCTTTGGCACTTTTATTAGACTTCAATTCAGGTTTACCATAAGGCAATTGTGTAACACAAGGAAACCTGCTTTTCTTCTCCTCCTCTACAAAACCGTGTCAGATCTATCGATATCGGTATAGCCTAGGCCACTTGTTTGTTCTTCCACCTGCCAACCTATCCACATTCACGACCCTTACTGAAAGTCTTGAATAAGCCAGTTTGGTATTAAAAGAAGGGAGGTCACTCGGGGAAAAAACACCTGCACGGGTGCTTTGATAGAGCAGACTTTAACTCTACGTCCCATTGACCTTGGACGCACTTCATTTTGGGCATGCGCTATATTGGAATAGAGCCTGAAAGTGAAAGGTCACGCAGCGAGCTTCCGGAACCCTTGTTCGGTCCACCTATATGAGAATTTTACATAACACAGTCCTATCACGTTCGATAATTTTTGGAAGAATGATTCCTCACCGAAATCACCCAATGAAATAGTTATGCTGGAATTTTACCTTTGTCTTCCTCAATTAATATTTAGGAAAAATCTCATGGGTAAAAAAAGGAATTTCATTAGTGACCTGTTACGACTGGTGATATTCACGCACGTTTGTTTCACTCCCTGTACATTGTGCTTACTTGAAAGCGAAACTACAACGTTGCAAAGATGTACCTACCTGTAGGTTCCATGATCAAGCAGTTGGCATAACGTCAGTAAAGGTGAGATAAAATATTTGGATCTTTCGTAAAAGTAGATTATTGCTGTAAGTTAGTTACCTTATCAAAAAACAAAGGGTGTAAAATATTTTGATCTGTTTTTATTTCAGCTTTTACCGAAGATTACCATAAAATTGTATACCGTAAATGTTCATTTGCGTACAAGACTGCTGCATTGGAATGTTCTTTATGTATTTTAGATTTTCAGAAGTGATGGGTCAATTTTTGGCAGGATATTTCTCTTTTAGGCCAGGTATTTGTTTCAGTTTTATAAATTGATATACAAGCAGATATTCTTTCAAAGCCTTTTTTTCTGAGTTGGATTTTCAAAAACATATTACAAATTCTAACATCTTTGCAAGTTATTTTTCCTGTCCAAGTGTTCCTGACGCCCTCCATCAGGGGTCAACTTTCAGGCTTTACCAAGTTGGCGCATTTACTTCCAAAACTGAAGCCTTATGGTCCTTGTAATTTGTAGAAAGAGTAATCACGTCCGATTTCAGTGAGTGGACATACGTGTGAATTTTATCTTCTCAGTCCAGAACAGTCACAGTTGAGTAATTGACTTGTAGTCTGAATATATCGTCTTGATAACTCTTTTACTTACAGTTTTCGCAGTGTCGACCGATGTAGCCTTCTTCACATTTACATTTATAGCCAGCCTCACGATCTAGGCACAATGCACCGTTCTGGCACGGATTGCTACGGCACTCATCAACAGCTAAGGAAATCATGGACCACAAACACAAAGAAACACTGACACTGAGAAGGAGGACTGTGAGCCGAAATGTAAAGCTTCAGTTACTCAAGTGATATTTCTGTTTTGTTCCAATTCAAAAAGGTAAAAAACGGTAAAAATAGAAAAGTATGAATCTAAAGGGCCTAGTTATTTAGGCCCATGTCGCAGCCGTCCCCAGGAGGACTGAGCCATCTCGATTTTAACTTGATATGCATTTTAAACCATCATTATTAATGTGAATGTTAAACTTAATCGAATGTATAGTTTTGTTGTTACGATCATTTCAATTTCAGGGCCACATGTGCGCCGGCCCGCGTGCAACGATCACTGTATTGGAAATAGTACATGGTATACAACTTTGACTTATTCGTCTCAGACAAAATGGGCCCTGCACAAGAGGCGTGCGTTCAATTTCCACAATATTGATGTAAAAATGACTGCAAAGAATTACCCTAAGATTCCTTACGGCTAAGCTGCTGAAAACTGCACTGTGGCTATACTGAAAATACATGTCCAGGGGGCGAATTCCACCCCTGCCTGTCTTAAGGTTACTAAAAAAGCTATCACCCCTGGTCTATCCTCACTGTACTTACCTAATGAGCAATCGTCTCCCTCCCAACCCTTGTCACATCGACAACGAGGTGGGCAACTTCTACAATATTTCGATTGATAACACGTGCCATGGACGCAGGGTTTGGGGCACGTGACTGTAAATGAGTGAGGGGAAAAAAGGTAATGTTTTAACAAAATGTTTAGTACAATCTTACATGAAACACGTAAGATTTGTTTAGTAATGAAGGTACCCCAAACTAGCTTATGGTCGAAGTAGAGGGTATACATCTCTTTGATTTGTCTTCAACCATGTAAAATAACTTGAATTCTATAATGTGCCCAATGACACACTGTACGTGCCCAATGCACAACTTAAAAACTTTCCTTGTACTTCTTTTTGCCACAACAAAATGAAAAATAGGTGTCGCCTTCGCCTGAACTGCTTTGCATCTGGATCTTGTCTTTACATTTTTGCCTGAAAAAATGACGGAATAGTGACCTCTTGTATCCAGCTGGTCTTCCGCATTGTCTGCCTCCAAGAGACGCTGCAACAAGTGCAGTCCGTTGTAGAGTTCATTCTGTAAGAAATGAATTGATAAGAACGGACAGGACAAAGAAAATGCTTGTCACCGATGTACACGTTGCAAAAGTATTGTGTCAACATTGTTGACTTTATATGGCTGGAGTGGCTACCGCCAGATGTTGTCAATTTAAACCACCGATGTGAGGTAGCTTCAACTACTGTCTTGTTTCAGAAATTTGAAATGGAAACTAAGACTGACAACAAACAAAACCGAACAGAAATCGTCAAACAAACTTACATTAACAACCACAGAGCTTTTTGGTTGTTCTTTGTTTCAAGTGAAGTTGGTTTGAACGAAAAAATATTTATTTTGGTGTTTGCTTGTGAAATGTACAAAATAACACTACTGTAGAAAACCACTCTACGTATTATTTACGCGATGCTGGTGGTACGTGCATACTTGAGTGAAATAGGACCGTTCAAGGTGTTTCTTACAGATGCTATAATGCAGTGGTCCTCTTTAAAGGGATACCAAGCGAAAAATGTTTCACGTTTATGTTTACTCTGGTCCCATTAAAATAATGGTAAAAAGACAATGGTAATGGTAAATCAGAGTGAAAAGTAGAAATTTTAAATGAGACTCTCCGTTTATATTTGTCTTATGTCCACTGTATTCCTCGATTTACATCACAACAGCGCCCTCAATTAAAAACAGACAATTTGAATACAATTTTTCTATACATGTAACTCCAGGAGGATGTTGAACAGGATGTTTTTGTCATGAAGTGATGAAAACTCACATTTCCTGGGTAGATTGTATTATTCCTATCCTGCATATATTTAGGACCTTAAGTACGCCACAGGCTAATTAAAGTAATTCATAGATGTGTAGCAGCCCCATGCATACATTGTGGGCGAGTGTGTCTCTACTACACAGGTGCCATTGTAAAGTTTTAAATCTTTGAGTCTGTAATCCGGGAAGGCTTTCCATATCCTGGGGAAAGTTTTAATACACGCAATAACCTGCAGCGTGCATCTAAGTGGATATCATTATAAAAAGTGAAACATTATGCTCAGTGCAAAAATACCTTCCACATTTAGGAAAACAAAGGACATAATTCATTTCAGTAAACTTGCTCTGGTGTATTCAGATCGACTATACTTGTTCGTATGTAGATACTGACAGAATAAAGCTACATTTTGTACCCGAGAATGCCAATTTTTAAATTTTCAACAAATACTATTTACGACAAATACTAAGTGCAGATCCGGTCACCACAGTAGCAGGCTTGTTTGTTGGGGCGGCTTCAACAAATTTGAATGATTCCTTTGCCAAATTCTACCAATATCCGCTGGTTAGCTTTCTGGGTCAATGTCTTGTTAATTAGTGTGTCTGTATGGGTATTTCATTATTTGTGTCGTAAAAGCAAGCAGCGTTAAAAGTTTTCATCTTTGGATAAAGAGTTTACTTCATTGTCCATGATTATTCAAACAAAAGCGACAACTTAAAACATGGTAAGAAAACCAAATGCTCTTTCATTCATAGGATCAAATGAACTTAATGATTAAAGAAATAAACGTTTCAATGTTTGGCCTGCTAAGATTCACTTTTAAAGACACGTTATCATTTTCTGAGGGTTGGTTTATACCTGCAAGGAAAGACCTGAGGCCCATTTATAAGATTTTCTGAGGATTAACGCCGTCACTAGAAATTATAGGCGTAATGTTCTTACTGCAGCAAGCTTTGTGAGGCAATGGAAAGGTCAGGCATTGTACAATTGATTCTGATGAATGTAATGGTTGAAGCACTAGGTGTTATGGTGTATAGTGTGCATGCGTGACTTTATACACTCAAAGGCCAAACGCTTTGCTTCACCAGCCTGTGAATGGAGTGCCGATGATTGGACACGCTATATTAATCGTGGCCAAACCTTGCGTGCAGCCACGCTGACTGCTGTGTTGTTTCGCACAACTGCACATCCAGTCTTTCCTTTTACTTTTTCTGTTTATTATTCAGAAAACCTGATAGTGCAAGTCATTCAGCCGTCTCCTTGCTTTGAAATTATGAACAGATGTAGCTTAATACACCAAAGTGCGAAAGATGGGCCACAACCAAAATTCCTTTTTCAAAGTGATTTTTTCGCCACAACAAATTGCTATCTCGCATTCCTCTCATTTCTCCCCATTGTTCCTTTGTTTCTTGAATTTAATACATGAAATAGTATTTAAAGTAACATGCACTGCACCACAGAGTTTCCACTGGTAACCACCTGGCAGCCATCCGGTGAAAAGAAAAGAGGAAAAAGCAAAATGAAACCCAGAAAAATTGGCACCTTAATAAATCTAAAATGTCTATAGGTTGAGATAAACTGTCCATTCCTTGACATGCTCAAATTTCGTCACAGTGTTGCTGTCACTTGCATGTTTTCCATCAAGAAATGAGAATGGTACAGTGGCTGATCTCCGCCAGGAATACACTTTTATTTTACGGCGTTATAACGCCCACATACGGCGTTATAATGCCCTATTAGGGCATTATAACGCCCTATGTAAAGGGCGTCCACGGCGCTCTACGGCATCCACGCAATAACACGTGGCTCTGCTTATGCACTTAAAAGTAGAGCAGTTACTGTGGCCATCCTTGGACGGTTCGAATCTTGCAAGGTATGTGATACAAGCCCCTTTGTGTCAGGTTGCAGTGACCCAAATAAATTATACTAAAGCTTCTCTTTATTTAAAATTAATTTTTATTGATAAAAGCACATTAACTAGTAATTACAATTACCTGGCGTTGAAAGTTTAACAAACACGAAATATCTTTCTTGATTAAAACGAAAATCACACTACAACCCACTAGCTGTCGGTGATTCTTTACTCTTGTGACACACTAGATTTGTCGGTGACA